CCCCAAAACCCCAAAACCCCGACTAAGTAATATAGTTAGAAGTAAATAGATTGTGAAATAAAGTATAATTGAGTGGCGATTAAATTTCATGAAATTAAAATTATTTTTCTAGCTTGATGATAAGGTTGATCATCAATTATAAGTTGTAATAATTTGAGGTTAATAAGATTAAATTAGCTGTCATTTCTCAAGAAGTTTCATGATATTTGCATTGAGTTGTTCTAATGCAATTTCACATCCTTGGAGTTTGACAGCAAGAGACTCCACCTTTGAATTAAGGTTTTTAATCTCCTCTTTGTCAGCATAGTGAGTTTGTATAAATGTTTTAAGTTCAACTAAGGTGTTTTATTAATTCGAAGTATTTTTATCTAATAATTCTATCTTATTTTAGAGGGGAATCACATTTTGAATGACTTCATTCTTAGATCTTTAAGCTGAAGTTTGTATAGTTTACTTCAAATCTTTAATAAAGCCTTTCCATTCACCTATATATGATGTTAATTAAATGAAAATTACCTGAATCTCCTTTAATAGTCTCAATTGGTCTTCTAAGTACAATATATTCGGGGAAATAAAATCTACTTTCCACTTCATTTTGAGGAGTCAGAAGCAGTTCTCTTTGCACAATCATTTCTGCCTTAACTTTAAATGATTAGGCTACTAATTTTTGCATGACTTTCTCATAAGAATCTGAGATAACAGCAATTGTAAAGTTCATAAATAAAATGCTCAAGATCAACATTGCAATAAGCCAAATTGCCCATGAAAGGGAAATCATAACAGTTGAGCCTTAGTATCTATAATTTTCAGTGGAAAAATCACCAGATTAAATTCTGAAAATCATGAGGAAGTATCTTATTATGCCTAGACCTTCATACACCTCAGTTTTCTCAGAACTGAAAAGGATTACAAATATAATTCCTAATTAGAACATAAAAATCAAGAATAATAAAATAAAGTATTAAATATCTCTGTAGACGATTCTCATCAATGAGACTAAAAAGCTAAATCCATCATAAATTCTCAAATAGAAATTTAATTTTATGAATGCAAATAGCAGTACTATGATGTGCAATATAATTATTGCACTTTTATCTCCTGATATAAGCTAAACAATGTTAAGTATTGCATAAGATGTGATCAATGAAAAGTCAAAGAGATTCCATAGCTCTTTGAAATTTTTAACTTATTTATTTGCCTAT